GTGGATTAACTATTTTCCTGCAAAACCGAGTTATGCAAATATAATCCAATATATGGCTGCGTTTGAACACATCTTGTCAAATAAAGCCGTAAAAATTCGAACTTTGTACAAAACGAATTAACCAAGTGCTCTGATACCACTTGTTGGGATCTGTGAGGATCTCGTTATGTACAAATCACGAATTCAATAGCAAACGTAAACCTATGCGCAGCGGATCTAAAGGTTTGACGTAGAGAACTTACGGCTTAAAATTTATGTAGATCTGGTTGACCACGAACGGTTGACCGCAATTGATTGACCGCAACACGCGTCTTGGGTTGCACGAACAAGATCAGATCAAAACTGGATCAAACGGATGCAAACAGATCAAAACGAAATTTTGCTGCCAGACACCTTCCGGCGGCGCGTGAGGGCGCGTGCGGCGTCGGATTCCGGCGACGTCGGCGGCGATGGAAAGCTCTCGTCGAGACGGTCGTCTGGGTATACTGTACGTCTCAATCGGACTTCCGGTTAGTTCTGTAGGTCAAAATCAATTTCGTCTCGGTTTACCTACAGATCTTCTACTGTATTACTCAATACACCCTTCTTCAACTTGTACCAGTGGAGCAACAAGAAGAAGATAAAGCTCGAATGAGATCTAGAGAGAGAGGCGTGTTTCACGTGAGAATGAATTCTATTCTCTTCTCATGAGCTTAATGATGTATATATAGAGCTACAGTAGGGACCCTAAGGAGATTAGGAAAAGGGCTCCTTAATTAATTAGACTAACTGTGGGCCAAACCCACTCCTCTAATTAATTAAATAATATTAATGGGCCACCAACATTATATTATTGCACTCCCTTTCCCTAGCCCAAATTACATTTGAGACTCCAATAATAATTACTCGATTTACCTCCCCACGTTTAAGATATAATGTCCATTAATTAATTCGATTACTGACAATCAAGAATTAATTAATTTATTATTATTTCACCGAAGCTAGCGCTCGTTCATCACATTCTTATTATGCCGGAATTTAATCCACCTGCAGGGTTTAGCATAACAATCCTTCATGAACTCACTCCGGGGACATCATCAAACTAACGCACATGGTGACCGTAAATATCCTAACAGCACATCCTATATATAATAATATTACCCAAAACAGTAGGAATATTAATCCAGCGAACTGAACCTCACCCATGTGAATCAAAGTAATATATATTATATATATCTGCCTGTTTAATATCTTACGGGTTAAGAGAACGCAGTAATTAACCGAGGCCTAGTTCATTTACGACGATCAGTATAAAATGAACTTCTCCTCTCTGGGATCCTGTTCAATACATAAATGTACTAGTGCAACTAATCAGTCAAGACAAACTGTACAGTTGACACTACAACCGTTCGGATGGGGTGTTCATGTCCATCTAGGTTGTGAACAACTATTCTTGTTCGCAAGTGACTGACAGAGTGATCTTCGGTTCGCCCGATGACGACCCACCCTATCTAAGTGCAGAACAACAGAACGTAGAACTTGTTTAATCTAACATGATTCTCATTCATAAAGGGTAAATGTGTAATAACATGCAAAGCCAAGCTTTCAGTATATAACACTAACACACTGTTCAAGCGAGTCTCTGAGAGTCCGTGAGTTTTGTTGTATAGAGTTTCTTAGTTGAGATATTCAACAATTCAGTTTTGTGTTCTTGCATCACAGAAGAGATGAAGTGTTCTTTCTCATAACTCATAAGTGCTTAGGGATTAATTACTTCATCAGCTTGGAGGGATTCCAAATAGCTGTTTTAGTACACGTTGTGGCCAAGAAAGTAATTAGTAGTTTCGGATATAGTTGTAGTACGTTGAGTAGGAACTTCTATATGTGTAATTCTAAACTATACATCGTGTGCGATTGATCTGGTAATGAAAAAGCTCTAAGGATAGTAAGATGCTCGCCAAAGACGAATTTGTGTAAATTTTTGCTTCGCCGTTAATTTTTATGTTGTTACACAATTTGCGTCACCCTAGATACTCTCCCAAATTTTCAGAAAGCAGCAGTGTCGGTATGGCAATAAAGCCACTCCCAAAAAACTATAGTACAGAGGATTTTTGTTTACAAAAGCTCCTCGAAAGTTAAGTGGTAAGAGAACTAGAAGAGTATATGCTTGGTTTGTACAAGTACAACACCAAATGTAAATTAATTAAGCTTTCAGTAGAATCATACTTTTCAATAAATATTATCACACTTATTATATCATAAGTTCATACATACATATATATATATAGAGAGAGAAAGAGAGAGAGAGATTGATCATATGAGAATGGTAGATAGTTAAATAAATAAGAATAATTATGAACTATTGGATCAATTATATCAATGGACATGATGAAGTCAAAATTGAGTTATAATGGTCAAACCTGCAGTAGCAAAATTATAATTATAGTTCTATCTCATGGACAATAAATACATTAGAAAGCAGTGGTGTAATTTCACCAAGCGACAAACTTGGTGAGCCCCACCCAAATCCTTGCCCACGATTCTTCTCTCGTCTCTACTCTCTCTCTCTCTCTCTATCTCTCTCTCACACACACACACACAGAGGGGCGTAGCCAAAAAAAATTTTCACCCTGGGCTGCAATGCTTAATGTTGATAACTAGACCTGTAAACGACTTGAGTCGAGCTCGAGGCTTGATTTTATTACGAAGAACGAGTCGAGTTCCAGCCTTAACGAGCCGATCTCGAGTTTTAACAAGTCGAACTACAGAAAATTATATAAAGAATCTATTTTCGAGCCTTAACGAGACTTATCAAGTCGAGCTGAGCCCGTTAACCAAACGAGCTTTAAATGAGTTCGAGCTCGAGCTCGGCTCGTTTAATTTAACAGCACTACTGGTAACATAGTTCGATTTGACTTGTGAAAAGTCAAACTCGACTCACTTGTATATTTAAACGAGCTAAAGTTAAACAACTAATTGAGTTTTTCTATCAAACAAGTTGAACGAGCTCGCGAGACCGGCTAAGTTAGAATTTTGGATTTTGATCTAGATTTAAAAGTTTATTAAACGAGTCGAACCAAGTTTAAATGATCCGAATAGATTTATTAAAAGTCTATCAAAAACAATTATTGCCTCGAATAAATTTATTCAAATAAATTTTCTTTAACTAAATAATGTAATGTAAACGCAAAAAGAAGACGAAAAACAACGTAATAAGTTAAAAGGAAAAGCGAGAAGAGACTGAAACTATTTTCAAATATATAATTCATTAATTTAATTAAAATAAATATAATTTATTTTGGGCCAAAATAAGATTAATTCGTAGCTAGCCTAATTTAACATGAGCTAAAATATTTTTTACTAGTACATATTTAGATGTCCCAAAAAATTAAGACCGGGCTGGAGCGCACCCCA